TCATGTAATTCATGACTACTTTTTGCTCCTTAATTTATATGATCTTCTTCTATGTTTTCAGTTCATTATGGGCAGAGCTTGAAATCCATATTCAGTTTTAATTTTTGGAAAAAAATCAGCACAGAGATCTGTTTCTAGAATTTATTCTGATGTGATCTAGAAGCTCTTGTAATCTTTTTTTTTTTAACATTCCTGACGCTACTCACATAGTTGATGTACACAGGGTAACTTTTTCTTAAACAAAACCTACTCTTCGAGTTGCCAACTACAACAGAGAGCACCTCCTGCATCTCTGAGGTGGACACCATACAGACTGGCAGAGCTTGGATCAGATAACATGAAAACTTAGCTGGGGATTATCAGTAGAACTGCAAAAGATGTTTGAAGAGGAGGTAATATTTGCAAGGGATAAGACAGCCAAGTCACCTAGAAAATTGCTGTAGAAAAACAAGTTTTGCCTTATGTAACCTCCATTATGCCAAACAAGGAATCTTACTTAGGACCAGATCCTGCTCCCTTTGAAGTAAGTGGAAAACTTTCCATTTGCTTCATTGTGGAGAATCAGACCCACAGGGAGTCTAGTTTGTCTCTGTAAACAGGATAAAGAAGCAAAAGAAACATCCAAGGCAACTTGTAGGAATTTCCTGGCAGTGTAGGTACCAATAATTAACAAGTAAAAAAACCCTAATGCTTTATACAAAAACATTTTAATCCACATTCGCTTTCCTCTGTCCATACTTACTTCTCATGGACTAGAAAGAAAATTGTGAAATGTTTGGCAAACAGAAAGGACTTTGGTCTAGATTCTGTGTTCTGTCCACGTGCGCTTTCTGCTTTGTAAACTTTGTTCTGGAAGCACCCCTGGACTCAGCTAAAATGTGTCATTAAAGCAGATCCTAAACCTGACAGCTCTTACTAACTTTGTTGAAGCTTAATAAAGAAATAATTTACTGTAAAGCAACACATAACTTTGTACATCCTGCAACAGCAATACCTGGGACAGGATTATGTTCCGTTGCATCCAATGGTAGAAGGCAGCTAGATGTATTCAGGTGGCCAGGTCCTTACAGTTGTTTCCCTTATAACGGCATATTCATGCCCTCCATTTAAAAGAAGATGCTTCTCTGTAGTTTCTGCGGCAAAATGCCATCTCAATAATTTCCCTCACTGACAAAGGAGCTACTTGTAAGAGTTCAAATAATAGAAGCCATGAAATTCAGAACGGAGAATTTTGTCTTTAGCTATCATAAGCTAGCTATTTAAGTTGGGTATGACATCTCTGTGTCTCTTTTTTTTTTAGTCTGAGGAAAGGAAATAGAAAACAAGAAAACCTCACTGTCAATAGCAACAACCCCCAAATTCAAGATATGTTTGTCCAGAGTTTCTTGCCTATTGTTTACAGCTCCCATCTTCATTTCTCAAAGTTCTTCTCCTGTCTGACATGATATTCTCAGTAGTTAATAAGGGAAGTGTGGTCTAGATAAATTATGTTGAAGTGGGTGCATGGCTTGTTCAAAAAAAAAAGCCACATTGAAAGAATACTGGTTTGCTGTCAAAATAAGAAGTCAAATGACATTTCCATTGGATCCTATGGAAGTCTACTTTGAACCTTGCTGTACTCAGAATTCTGTGACTTATGACCAGAGAGAATATGCATGAAACTATCTAGAATTTCAAGCCATGAGGAATGTCATACTGTTTGGAGGTTGGTTTTACAATTTGCAGTTTTCTTGTATCCATTCGTTTCTATGACACTGTGGCATCTGTGACATTACTTCTCATAGAGCTGCATTTCTTGTTGGCAGCCTCAGTGGAGAAGCCAGATGCTGAATGGGTTGTCATGACTGAACGGCCAGATCCACAGATAAATTGATCATTGACAGATCATCTAGTAGTCATAGATCATCTAGTCCCTCCAAAATGGTGTTCAAAAGTGTTCGTTCAAAAGTGTCGAGAAATTTGTTTTAGTTTTCTCCATTATTTATCCTCCATATAGTATCAGTCTAGCAGTGTTAGAAGTATTACAAATGGAATAGATTTATTTCAAGAGTAAGAGGAGCAGACTTACAAGTTAGCACAATTATGTCTCTTCCAGGACCTAAGTGCAGAATGATCTCAGTTTTTGGGCCTATCCCATGGCAAACAATTATAGTTGTTTTCTACATGGACTTGCTTTTGTTTTTGTTAACTACGGAAAATAAATACATTGTAGGAGGACTCTGAACTCTTAAGAGACTGAAACTCCTATTAGTTAAGCCTTTCTGTGGAGGTCTGTATTTTTCCAGCATTTTATTTAATTACTTGACAGCAGCCCAGGAAACATGAAGCTGCTCTGCCTTCATGCTGTGATATCACCCACACTACCCACATTAAAAACTGTGTGTCTTGAGACTTGCTCTGCCCATGTATTCATTAAATATTAGATGCAGCCAGTGGAATGAATCAGATTATTTCTGGACGTGCAGTGTTTGTTTCTAACATCTCTTTTCCCCATCCTGTTTTAGTCACCATGTGACTGAAAGCAGAACACCTTCTGTGTCTTTGCCAAGAAATTGCAAGATGACAAAGATTTTTGTTGCAATGTAGTTTGGCTGATATGAAATGTATCATTGGTGTTCACCACTCAACAACAAAGGCCTTTTCCTTCTGCCTGTAGGCAAGGAGAATACCATATTGTAAGATGCAAAGTTATACACTTAAATAAACTCCCTCATGCTAGCTATGTAAACCAAATCCTGAGATCTGTACCTATGGGATCTCTCCCTTCACCACTACAGTATCACCATCGGTAAGTATTAGACAAAATGTAAAAGGATCCAGGAAACTGGCTCTTCCAAGAGTGGATTTTCATTGCGTATTGAGAAGGAGCTAGGGTGTAATGACTAATGCATAGAAAAGAGGAGCAAAATAGCATGATTATCTTTACTCCGGACTTGTATGACTTGAGAGTAGAACTTTAAATTTTGACCTTCTAAGTTTTCACACTTCTCTGCTTAGTACAAAAAACCAAAAACTAAGGAAGGATATGGTAAGAACCTTCCAATCATATCTGCAGAATGAGGATCAACTGCTCTTCATGATCATTGGGGGAGAGGGGACAAGAAGGAATCAACTTAATTTGCAGCAGAGATTATTTAGGTAGGCACTAAAGAAGAGCTTTCAAAAAGTCAAAATGGAAACAACTACTGAGGATTGCTATTGAATCTGCTTCATTAGAAATTTTCAAAAACTAGTTCAACAAGCATTCACTAGTGAATGGCTTAGGTATGCTTGATCCTGCCTTTGTGTGAGGACTCAGACCAGCTCACTTACGGTCTTTTCCAGCACTCATCTAGGATTCTAGAGGTAGTTAAAGCTCTGGAAGGCTTTTCTCACTTTTCTCACTGCTGCATCTGAGTCCGTGCTTAGGCAAAGACTTGCTAATATCTGTGCCTGTGCTTATGATGTGATGCATCCACCCTGTTGTCTCCTGGGACATGAGTCACTCATGAAGTGCATTTCATCAAAACTATTTCACCTTCTGCCCCATGAAGTCATTGATGGCACAAAAAGATTTTATTCCCTTGTGACTAGTGGTAAAAAAATATCCAGTCATAGTTTACAATGGTTATGCCAGTAATATACACAATATTATGTTTTCCTTTTCCGATGGCCAGAGTGTTTATTCTTCTACCAGCTGTATTCATTTAGCATGTTATTCATCTATTTGGTTTCACTATGTATATATTTAACAGTTTGCAATAGGGAGGGTGCTCCACACGGTTATGTATTAAGGGAGTCTATATTTACAGTTAACTGAATCTGATAATATCAGCTAGTGTTAGAATACTGTAGCTGAATCTTAGATTTATACCACAGATGGAACTGATTCAGAAATGATTTTGCAAATATTGTGAAACCCATACAGTCCTAATTATCTTACAATATCTACCTCTGAACCTAGAAAAGTTGAAAGGAAGACAATGAATACACATTCCAGAAGAAAATAAACCAAAATATCACGTGTACCACATAGCTAAAGGGACAGAAATTAGCTGAGGATGTATTTCTTGAGTCTATTATGTCAGAGTGCACCAGGGACTAAAGTTCTAAGAGTTATTTTGGTTTTCAAAACCCATTACAGAGACAGACAACCTTCTGGAACCAGTGGAGCCATTGGCTAGTTTAAAGTGGCTTGAATTCTGTCTGTGATGTATGTGTTTAGATGTACCTGGATATTTGGTTAGCATCATTTCCCTGTGACTGTTATTGCAGTTCTTCTATTTAATACTTGCAGCTAAATCAAAAAGGAGATGGCAGTCATTCCCCCTGAATCGCAACTTCTGAGTATGCATACAAACACAACTCTCATCTTCTGCACATCCAGGGTCAAACACAGATAAAAGACTGAACAGGGAGGGGCTAGTCATAGTACTATAGAATGATCTATAAGGTTTGGCTTTTAAAAAAAAAATTCTAACTTATTTTCAGCTGAATGGGTAAAAGAGGGGGAGAGTGGAAATTATTTTCACATCCTTTTACTATGTGGTGAAAGTAATAAAAACACAGAAGGCTGAAAACCTAGAAGTAAAGGCTGAAACCCTAAGTCTCACAAACTCAGAAAATCTGAGATTCGAGATATGATGCTGAAATTCTGGTCAGGGCAGTCTTTGCATCAAAGAGATTAGTTCAGTTCTGTGCAGCCATATACGTAGGAGATTTCATCCACTATATTTGGGATTGGATCTCTGTTCCAATTACAAAGCCTTTTCACAATTTATGGGTATTTTGAGGTCCAGAGTTTTTAGAAGGACCCATCTCTGGCAATGCAATTAATACAAGGGTTATATGAAATCTTTTCCCAGAGTGGTTTAGGTTTCACTAACGTGGATTGACAATGATGCCCTTTTTTAGATAGGCTTAGGGAGACTTGGACAGGATCATACACAAAATGTACAGTTAGGCTGAGAAAGCACAAGTAGGTAACAAGTCTAGTAAGTTAGTGAATGTCTAGAACTCACCACGTTCTCCATGACTCCTGTCTTGTTGGCAAGCTCGCATTCCTCTGCATGCCCATTGCAAAAGCAGCTTCCCCGGATGATCAGGTCATAAATAGCATAGTGAGCAAATCTCTGAGGTTTCTCTACCAATCCCGAACCATGGCATGGACATTCGTGTCTTTTTAACAAAAGGAGGCGGAGGTTGGTGAGTTTCAGGAGATCTTGAGCCTCAGGACTATAGGGATCTTCGATCTTGTTAGCTGGACTTAAGGCACGATAAATCACCTGAAAGACAGAAGATACACATCCAAGAATAGATATAGGACTCTGCATACACAGCAAACATCCCAAGGCGATGTTCAGGAAAAAGTAATAGTTCCTGTTTAGAAGACTCTGCATAAGCAGTTGTGGGGCTGTGACTGATCCCAGAACATCATAGCTGAGTTACCACCAGCTGGCCAAGCCGCAGCAAGTAACCGTGTAGCCGCTTTCATCCCGTCTCAGATGTGAGATAGGAAATGCCTTTGTTTAAACATCTCTCCCTGGGGTTACTGAGCCCAGTCGCTTCTTGCAGTTCAGCCAATATGTAGTAACTTGTCAAGCACTGGTTACTTCCTTGTGTTTGTGAGCCAAGTGACAACAGTGTCACTCAGAGAAATCCAAGGTTTGTCGGCATAAATGCAGTATTAATGCCATCCAAATTTCTCAAAGAATTTTAGGAATATGGCTTTAGCATGAGTTCTAGAGTCAAGTAAACTAAGGCACTGTGAAAGAAGTGGAAAGGAAACTGTGATCAGACTTTTGGCTTGGTCACTTGAACTATGTGCTAGAAAACAAGGCTTGGCTTAGGGTGAGTAAGCATTGAGAGAACCCTGTCTTTAAACAAAGCCAGTTGGTTTATTCATTAGGAGAAGAGAAGTAGCTACACTGCAGTGAGCTTGCAAGACCAAAGGCACTTTGTCCTACTGACTGTCTGCGGGTTGTTACTCTTTTGTCACAGCTTTTATGCTGTTTGATAGTTCTCCAGAGCAGGAACAGTTTGGTTTTGAGTATCAGTTCTAATTCGGTGTTTAACAGTGACTAAAGGGACATGTTGTATTTCAGCTGATGCACCACTCTATCCTTCTGTCTCTCTCAGGGTGTTTGTTTCTGTTGCTTTTGGGAAGAGGTTGACATGAGAGGGCTGCACCACAGTCCATGCCAGTGAACTAGAGAGCTGGTTGCATTCGTTCCCAGGCTTACATGTCCTCTATGGATATGCTAACTCCAATTTGAGAGCTATTTTCTCCTCTGGTTGAGTTTTTCCATCATAGCAGAAGACTTGCCCTCAGGGTTCTTTGGCCCTGCTTTATAAGTGGTGACAATGTATGTCTGACTAACTCCATTAGCAGAGTGAAAGCCTTGTTTCCATAGGGATTCCCTCTTTCTTTCTCTCTCTGTGTTTTTCTTTTTCTTTCTTTCTAGTGAACTGACCAATTTAAATACTTGCAGCATGTAAAATACTTTTGCTCCTTTTTGCTTGCAGGAGTCAGAAAAGAGCTTGTGGTGCATGCCTGGAAGATAATTCTGTTGCATGTTGATGGCACATGGGGAGATAAACCCCCTTTAGCAGAATCAGCTGCCAGGCTTCGCACAGAGCTACACCTGGCGGTACCACAGCAAAGCCAGTGGTACATTTCCCACCTTTCCGCAGCATTTTCTGTTTGGTTAGCTCTGTTCTTCCTTTTAATTCCCTTCTCTTATATTGTCAGCTACTTAAAAAGCTGCAAACAGCCCTGTTTGGTGAGATCAGAGGTGCCCGTATTTCCTTGTTTGATAGAGCTATGGGCAGATTGCCCAGGCTGGGCAATGCAGGTGCCTACATTCCCCTGACCAATGAAGCCATGACAAAATAGCCCAGGCCTTTCCACCCCAACGTCTACATTCCCCCCATCAATGGAACCATAAACAAATGGCCCATTCTGTTTTGTCCAGGTGCCCAGCATTCCCCTTATTGATGGATTCACAGGACAAAGACCAAATCTCCTCTGCCCTGTTCCCCTAATCCAGGATGGTGAGATCTTTTTAGTGGAAACTAGTTTTATGGACCCTCACTCCTTCTTCCCAGTCCCCTGTGGACCACACAGAGGTGGAGTGGTTTCTCAGAGTCCTGAGCACCTGGTCGTGTACAGACACACACATCTTCCTCCCACATGATCAATTAATCTAAGACCAAGGCAGTGAACTGGATGGAATTGTTCTGGAGAGCCTACTAAGCTCAGAGATCTCAAAGCAGGATTAAAAAATAAGTACTGGGATATTAATGGTTAAAAGTTCTTGTGGAACTGTTTTACATTGGCATAAAACAGAGGAACCAAGGGTAAAGCAGTAACTGTTCAGTTACGGTTTTTTTTATAAGCTTTATTCTCACAATTAGCTTTCTTGTCTATGGCTTCTGTAATACATATGCTTAGTAAAAATGGTATCTCCTTTCAGGGTAGCTCTCCAGGGGATACCTAACAGATCACTGGCTTGAGAACATAAATGCTAGAGGTACTTTGCTCCAGGACAAGACATCTGGAAAAAGGTAACCAATATGTCATTAGCTTCTGCAAGATCTGCACTGGTCCTGCCAGTGACTTTCTTATACAAGGCTGGGCAAGAGGCTTAATGCCTCTGTGCCCTAGAGATCGCAGTTGTGAACAGCTATGGATCTCCTCACAGGAGACAGAAAGGAAGGGTGAATGAGGTGAAGAACAAGAGTTTTTACTGGGCCTCTCTGAAAGAAATGACTAGATAATGGCCAAAGTGTTTCTTTTTACTCTATGTCTCTGGCATACTTCTGCTTGATGACAATAGTCTTGCATTGTGCTATGTTAACAGTGAAGGAAATCTTCTGTATTGTATTGTACTACTAGAAACCCATTTTTTATACAGTACGATAAGTTTAAAGAGATGGATTAATGTTTTGGGATCTCCAGTCAATTATCCATTGTCCCCATGTCTTAATTGGCATCCAGATAGCACTGAGTTCTTTAGGCAAAAGAACATCTGTTGGGTGCTCTTCTCTTACCATAGGGCCATTTGCTTTCACGAAGCTGTATTGTTTTTTGTTTCTTTGCTTGACAGCTTGGAAAAAGGTTGGGTTCCCTGTGGATTTATTGTTTTGCAAATATTTTAATTTCTGGCCTTGCATCTCTTAAGGGGAGTTGCTTTGGCATTTTCCATATCCTTTTAGAACTCTGAACATTATTTGTGAGTAGAGATGTTAATAGCTTGGATGTCCCATAGGGATTGTGGCATCCTTTTAAGAAAAAACAGTATTCCATTCCAGTTGAGGTACAAGAGTTTGCTTGTATGATTAATTCATGACACATTTCTGTCTGGAATAAGCTCAGTGGTAAGACTGGATTTGTTTGTCCTTATTTCTCCTAAGGCAAGACTTGTTAAGTGTTAAAGATCTGATTTGGGTGACATAACACTAGTGAAGTCTTTTGGGAGTGGCATTTAGATGTTCTTCTTGGGTTCAACAACCACTAAGGAATTAGCCTTCCTTAACTTTGTAAAAATCAAAGATATTAAGGACTTACTTAAACAAAGATATTTTGTATCAGTAGAGTCAAAGCAGGTATGTTGTGCCAATATAAGTAGGTTTAGGTGAGCTGCATTTTGCACAGAGATAGCACAGTTTTATTTCATATTTAAATCAGTTTAGCAGCATTATTTCATATATGCATAAAACTGGAAAATGGAATTTTCCTCTCTCTTCCTTCTGAAGAACACATTCTCCTTGAAATATTGGTGGTTAAAACCCTTGAGCACAAGGAAGAGTATAAGGTAATCACCATCTCTTGGCTCATTTTTAGTATTTGATTGGATGTTTCTTCTCATGTTAAAGTGCCAGTCATTAGATCTTCCTTAACATATGTGTTGCCCTACTGCCAAGAGCAATATGTTACAATCCGTAAGTTATACTTATTAGTCTACTATGCATATTGATTCAAATAATTGTAGAGTGGGATGAATTTTTAAAACCAGTCTGGTATCTCACCTTACATGCCCTGAATTATTTTTCCATAAATGCATAATTTACCTAAAAAAATCCCACTAAACTTTTTTCTGTACTAAAAATACATTATATTTTAAATGAATGTATTTGGGTTTACGGTTCCCTAAGAAAAAATGAATCCTAAATTAGGAGACAGATTGGTGGTGGTTGTATATATGGGTTGATAATTTTATATGGTACAGGGAAGAATTTTATTTCTGTAAAAAAGGAATAGATGTCACTGTGACCAAATGACAGAGTTGGGAATGTGACTATTTGTTCAAAGCCCCAGCACAATTGTTCAGTATAACGTTCAGCAAGTAACTTAAGCCTTATGTTGTTCTGGATTGCCAGTGAATTCAGTAGGAATAGAAGTCTGTTGTATGTTCTGCTTACTTTTTTAAAAAATAGGATACAGGTATTCAAGTACTTCATGGAATAGAGGGAAGATTAGTAAATTTATATCTGTAAAATTCTCTGAGAATCCCTAGAGATAGATGTTCAATAAGTGCAATTTTAATATTAATAGGTAAGAGATAAGAGTTTGGCTGTCTCAACCATTTCTGCATAAATGTTTTGAAGATTAGATTAGAAATGGATCTAAGTATTAGTGAACTCCTGGAGTCATGAGCTGTGGGAAGAGACACTCCATCCTTTTCATTGTGTTATTTGTTCCTTTTTTTTTAGTTCACAAGGTTTGTGTTTCTGAAGCCTATGAAGCAGATTCCTTTTATACAGATAGATGTTTGACTTCTGCCTTTTGCAGAAAGGCAGAAATATAATTCATTTTTCATTTCCCAGAGATACCGTGCAAATTTGCAGTTTTCCATTATATTCATGTAAAAAACATGAAGAGAGAGTAATGAAAAAGAAGTGTGTTCTTATAATTAAGATGCAAGCTCTGAAAAGAGCTTCCCATAATGTTCACTGTAAAGCTATTTCTCATCTAATTAAATCTGTATCTGGTATTAAGCTCTGTGGAAGCTCTGTTCTTTTTTTGCTGTAACAGACTGCTCTGAAATCTCCCAGTCATTTCTCTTAACATCAGTGTGCAGCTTTCATAAAAGTAGCATATGCACAGCTGCAGAAGAAAATCTGATGGTGATTAAGTCTGCTAAGGGACACCCTAGAAATCTTTCCACTTCCATTGATTTGGGTGGAAGTTGAGGGCATTCAGCACCTCTATAGTCTCAATCCTTTGTGGAAATACATCCTAGATCCTGAGTTTCCCTTATAATCAGGAGCTGACACTGGAGCT